CGTGAGCAAGCGTCAAGTGATCACGAGGAGTTGCTGAAGGAGAAAGAGGAGCGGCAAAGGGATCGGGAGGAGCTATTGAAGGAGAAAGAGGAGCGGCAAAGAGATCGGGAGGAGCTATTGAAGGAGAAAGAGGAGCGACAAAGAGATAGGGAGGAGCTATTGAAGGAGAAAGAGGCGCGCGAAAGAGATCGGGAGGAAATTACGAGGGAAAGAGAGCAGCTAATCAAACAAGTTGATGAAGAAAAAAAAGCACGGGAGGCACAACAACTACAACTCAATCATCTAAACGACGTGGTGTCACGGCTCACAACCCTCTTGCCAGGTTCAAACGGTCATCCTACTATTCGGTAAACATAATTTTCTTACTATTTCGTAAACATAATTTTCTTGGCACTGCAAGTTGTACAAAAATATGGATCATATTTTCATAGAATTGTCTTCTAAAGTTGGTATGCAAATATTTTCTTTGTGATGTGCTTCGAATAGGTTATGAGGCATCATGTGAGTAGACATTGCAGCAGCGGACCTGGTGTTTTGATACATTACAGAAAGACCGTACGCTGATTTCTATAAGGTAACCAACTCCAATTGAATGTGATTTGAGATTTAAGACTAAAGAGAAATTAGAATGAATTTTGATTTACTACAATATATGAGTGCCATATAAATACTGCAAAGGAGCTTTGATTTCAAAACGCTAACTGTGAAGAATGAATATGTGATTCTTAATAATAATTTTGTAAAATAAAACCAACACTAATTTGAACTGAATAATGTGTAAAACAAAATTAAAATTTGTTTGGATTTTTGAAAGCAGTTCTTAGGATATTACTCTGGTTTCCAATGGACACAATGCCACCTAGTCCATCCATATATTATTTGTTGCAAATAATTCTTCTCCATAGTGCATCTTTATGTCACCAAACACACTCCGGGATGGCAGTGGGGACAGACGAGACAGACGGGACGTAATTAGCACGTGTACGTTGGGAGCATACCCGAAAAACGCCATAAACTTAGCCAAGAAAAGGGCTTCGAGGGCCGAAAATTGAGAGCAGCCCCCGACGCACTGCGGGGATGGCACGAGTAGCTTCCTCATGTCAAATAGACTTGTGAGGACAGACGGGACGTAATTAGCACGTGTACATGGGAGTTAGCGTGAAAAATGCCATAAACTTAGCCGAAAAAAGGGCTTAAAGGGCCGAAATTTGAGAGCAGCCCCGAAAGCACTATGGGGATGGCACGGGTAGCTTCCTCATGTCAAATAGGACTTGTGGGGACAGACGGGACGTAATTAGCACGTGTACGTTGGGAGTTAGCGTGAAAAACGCCATAAACTGAGTCGAAAAAAGGGCTTCGAGGGCCGAAATTTGAGAGCAGCCCCCAAAGCCATACGGGGATGGCACGGGTAGCTTCCTCGTGTCAAATAGGACCTGTGGGGACAGACGGAACGTAATTAGCACGTGTACGTTGGGAGTTAGAGTGAGAAACGCCATAAACTTAGTCGAAAAAGGGGTTCGAGGGCCGAAATTTGAGAGCAGCCCCCAAAGCACTACGGGGATGGCACGGGTAGCTTCCTCGTGTCAAGTAGGACCTGTGGGGACAGACGGACGTAATTAGCACGCGTAGGTTGGGAGTTGGCGTGAAAAAAGCAATAAACTTAGCCGAAAAAAGGCGTTCGAGGGCCAAAACTTGAGAGCAGCCCCCGAAGCACTGCGGGGATGGTACGGGTAGTTTCCTCGTGTCAAATAGGACGTGTGGGGACGGACGGGACGTAATTAGCACGTGTACGTTGGGAGTTGGCGTGAAAAATGCCTAAAGCTTATACAAATATATTAAAGCTTAGCAATATAATATAGTTCTATAACAATCTCTATATACGTACAGTTATGAATAAAATATATGTATGTTTACACATTAGAGTAAACTTGAGTTGGGGTTGACTTACAAATTTGTTTGCACTTTAAATAAAAGTTAACGTGTACAAAAGTATATTGAAATACCTAAATTCAAATTATATTTACATACAATTTCAATTACAATTGACATCCTTGCAATTTGTGTTTTTGTAGATCAATATAACTTTTTGTTTACAATGGAACTAATGGTGTAATTTTTGTTGTGTAGATGGCTTTTGGCATTGACAGTGGATCTTCTAATTTTTTCTCGGAAGATACACAAGCTGGGAAAGTTGGGAAGTTTTTTGTCGTCCATACTTTTTGCTGTGGACTATGGATGCATCGAACATATAATTTTTGACAGGGTACAAAGTATTTTTGGAGCTTGTATTAATTAATGAACCGTGGAATTTGGATGCATCGTACATATAATTTATGGTGGGGTACATAATATTTTTGGAGCTTGTATTACCTTTTGTCGTGGTACATATTACCATAGTAATTTGTACCTTGTCAAATGGTCATTACAATGCATAGTATAGTAAAAATGTTGTGTATAGAGGACAATATTTGGTAACGTATTTGGAATGTATGATGTTATTATTTGTAATTGGAATATATATAGTTCGTTCGTAATAAGTTTACATTATTATTTGTAATTGGAATATATATAGCAGGTGTTCATTTTTGTTTATGGTTCTAAGTGAACCATGTAGGTGATACATACAGGTTGCGATGGATACATACAGGTTTGGACAAAATTTAGTAAAATTAAACAAACAAAACAAAAATATAAAATGATGCTTTGGTGAGAAATCAATTTGTAGTTAAAAGAAAAATCTTTTGGCGACTAAAATTTTAGTAGCTAAAACGAATAAAAATAGTTATGGTGACTAAATGTATAGGTGGCTAAAGCTGAAAAGACTTTTGGCGACAAAATTTTTGGTAGCCAAAACAACTCCAACAGCTATGGCGACAACTTATTTTAGTAGCTAAAACCCCAAGAAAGTTTAGGCGACTAAATTTTAGTCGCAAAACATAAAAAAAATCATGGGCGACTAAACATTAGTAGCTGAAGTTCACTATTAGCGACTAAAATATTGCCGCGTAGATATTTCATTTTTTAGCGACAAAAACATTAGTAGCTAATAGTTGAGTTAAAATATTTAATGAAAGGTTTCGGCGACTAAAGTTTTAGTCGGCAATGTATTCTATCGGCGACTAAGAATTATTTCGTCGCCAATACCTGTCTTTTTGGCTACTAACATGTTAGTCGGTATTTTGTGATACTTATAGCGACTAAATGAATTTTAGTCGCTAATTCTTTCGGCGACTATGTAT